AGGGTAAGGAGAGTGAAAGCAAACAACCATTGGAATCAGAAAGTGACCATTCAGAATGGAAGGTTGCATATGGTGGTGACAAGATGCAGCAGATTCAGCTCAGCTCAAGCTCAAGTAAACATGCTAATTCGAACTTGATTTTTGAAGATCTGTGTAAATGAAAGGTGATTGAGGTGGGTGAGAGCTCTGAAGCTCAGATTCATGCTAGATCTGAAAAATCTGAGGTCGATAAGGTAGCTGGGAATAACAATGTTTGGCAGGGATTTGATCCAAAAATCTTAGTTCAAAGTAAGAAGAAACTGAGTTTCATTGAACCTAAGGTTGTGAATGATAGAATGATTACGAAGATCACAAAGGATGAGATTCAGAGTGAGATTGATTACTGGAAGCCATCCATAATCTGTTATGTTTTGGGAGCTAAAATACCATTTCCAGTTATGAATGGGTTCATTAGAAGGTATTGGAGTAAAAGGAATGTCAATAAGGTTTTGCTTCTGGATAATGGAGTATTTGTGATCCGTTTTAGTTCTATGAATGATAAGAAGGAAGTGCTAAAACAGAACATTCACCAGTTTGATAACCGTCCCTTGATAGTGAAGGGCTGGGATGTACAAGCCGGAATTAATGTGGAAAAGCTAAGATCGATCCCTGTGTGGATTCAATTACCTGGATTAAAGCTCAAATACTGGAATGCTACTTCTCTCAGTAAGCTTACTAGTATGATTGGTAAGCCAATAGAAATGGATGACATGACAGAAAATAAGCTCAGAGCTGCATATGCAAGAGTCTTAGTGGAAGTTGAATTCAAGGAAAAACTTAAAGAGGAGGTATGGTTTGAAGATGAAGCAGGAGTGATGCAAGAACAGAAAGTGGTATATAAGTGGAAACCGTTGAAATGCAACAACTGTAAGGGATATGGTCATGATCTGAAACAATGCGGGAAGCCGGTTGAGAAGAAATGGACTCTCAAGGCAGAAGGGAAACAGAAGGAAGTTCAGGAATCAACACAAGAGGTGGTGGTGGAAACTCCAAAACAGCAGTCTCCAAAACCCATACCATCTAACCAGAAGGGTACCACTGAGTTTGAAGAAGGAAACGTTCAGATATTAAATCAAAAAGGTTTTAAAATTCCTGCTAGCAGAGGAGATATCAAGAATAGATCCACTAATAGTATTTGTTATCAAAGAACTAGTCACCCTGATCCAGGGCCTAGTACTTATGAATAACATACTTTCTTGGAACATAAGAGGACTAAATAGTCCTCTGAAGCACAGAGAGGTTGACCAATGCCTGTCTGTGAATAAGGTTGGTATTATGGGGTTGTTGGAAACAAAATTGCATGGTGAAAAGGTGATGGAGCTCATGGAAAAGAGGTGGTATAATTATTGTCATATCAGTAATCATGATAATCAAAATAAAGGGAGAATATTGTTGCTTTGGAGGAAAGATGAATATGTGGTAAAGGAGATCATAGTGGATGCTCAGTTTATACATTGCCATATTACTGAATTGGAATGTAAAAAGCAGTTTTACTTCACTTTGGTATATGCTGACTATCTAGCACAAGGGAGAAGTAGACTATGGGAAAGGTTGAAAGTTCTGTCGCAAGGGATTAATGAAGCTTGGCTAATGATAGGGGATTTCAACTGTGTTATGCAGCAGAGTGAGAGATTGGGTGGCAGAGAAGAGATGAACTCTGATTCTGGGAAGTTCAAACTGCTGATTGAGGAGTGTGAGTTATGTGCGATGTCAGTGCAAGGAGGGTTCTACACATGGAGTAATAACCAACTTGGGAATATGAGAATATTATCTAAACTGGATAGAAGCTTTATCAATGAATGTTGGGAAAATGCATTTCCTGAGGCTTATACCACAGTTTTGAATACAGGGATTTCAGATCATCATCCTCTTCTAGTTAAATGGGGAGAGAAATATGTTGGTAAGAAGACTTCCTTCAAGTTCTTTAATATGTGGTTGCAAGATCAAGAATGTAAGGCCATAGTAGAAGATTATTGGAAAAAGAAGGTGAAGGGATCATGCCAGTACAGAATGATTAAAAAGCAGCAAGGATTGAAGAAGCCATTAAGAGAGTTGAATAAAAGGAAATTCTCAAACATTGAAGAGGCGAACTAAAATGGAGGAAAAAACTGGATGATGTTCAAGAAGCTTTGAAGGTTCATCCACATAATACACAACTTCAACAGGAGGAAAGGGAAGCAATAAAGGAATGTGGCCTAGCGGGGAAAGCAGTGATAAGCTTCTATCAACAAAAACTGAAGGAAAAATAGATACAGAAAGGTGATCTGAATACTAAGTACTTTCATGCCAGTTCAAAGAAGAAGACATCCAAGAGTAAAATTAGAGCCTATACAGATGATCGAGGAACTCTGATTGAAGATGCAAAGTTGGTGGAAATGCATTTCCTAGAGTACTTTCAGTCACTCCTTGGAACTACTGTGACTAGAACATCAATCCAGAGTGGTTTTATCATCTCAGGAATTAAATTGTCTGTTGAACAGCAAATTTTCCTGACTATGGAATTCACTAAGGCTGATGTTAAGGAAGCAATGTTAAGTATAGATGTTACAAAGAGTTCAGGCCCTGATGGCTTCAATAGTGGATTCTATAAAGTTATGTGGACCATTGTAGAAGAAGATGTATGTGAGGCTGTCATGGAGTTCTTTAAAATAGGTAAACTACTGAAACAGTTGAATGCAACTTTGATTGCTTTGATTCCTAAAGTAGAAGTCCCTAAAGATGCCACTGAATACCGGTCTATTGCCTGCTGTAACACTGTGTATAAATGCATAACTAAAATGATATGCAAGAGGCTGAGTAGTGTGCTGGATGGATTGACTGACATAAACCAAGGAGCTTTTGTGAAAGGAAGATATATTCTGCAAAATATCCTATTGACACAGGAACTGGTAAGACTGTACAACCGGAAAAATGTTAAGCCAAGTTGCTTAATGAAGGTGGATCTGAGCCTATGATTCGATTTACTTGAGCTTTGTAGAGGAAATGCTACAGGAGTAGGGGTTTCTACCAAAGGTGATAGGTTGGATCATGGAGTGTATCAGAACATCAACATTCTCACTGAACATTAATGGATGCAGTACTGGTTTTTTCCAAGGAAGAAGAGGTTTGAGACAAGGTGACCCGATGTCACCCCTCCTCTTTGTATTGGTGATGGAGTATCTAACCAGAATGTTTAAATCAGAAGCAAGTAAAGAAGGTTTTCAGTTCCATCCTTATTGTGATAAATTGAAAATAACTTCTCTGAGTTTTGCAGATGATCTCATTATCCTATGTGGTGCTGATATTCACACAGTGACAAGACTGAAAAAGATGATGGAGAATTTTGAAGCTACAACTGGGTTGAGAATCAATTTTAACAAATCTAATGTCTATGTGGCAGGAGTTTCTGATACTATAGCTGATCAAATCCAGTCTATTCTGGGATTTGAGAATGGTAATTTCCCCATGAAATACCTGGGGATGCCAATCTCTCCTACTGCATGGAGTAAATTGGAATGTCAAAAAATGGTGGATAAAGTGACTGCAAGGATCAAATGTTGGTCCTCTAAGCATCTATCCTATGCAGGTAGGTCACTACTTATTAATGTTGTATTGTTGAATTTAAACTCCTATTGGGCTAGCATATTTCTCATCCCACAGAATGTGATCCAAGACATAGCCAAAATGTGTAGGCAGTTTCTTTGGGGAAATAAGGAAGATGGTAGAAAAATACGTCTTGTAGCATGGAATGATGTATGTCAGAAGAAATCAGAAGGAGGACTGAATATTAAGGAACGTAGTTTGTGGAATAAAGCCATGATCACTAAGCAGTTGTGGGATCTGAGTAATAGGAAGGAAAGCTTGTGGGTCAAATGGATGCATATGTACTATATAAAAGGCAGGTCAGAATGGGATTGTAAAGCTCCAAATGACAGCAGTTGGTATTGGAAAAAGTTCATGAAAATCAAAGAGGTTATGAAAGCAGGGACCTGCAATGGTCAATGGCGGGGGAATGGAGGCAAGAAGTATACAGCAAGCAGTGGATACACATGGCTGAGAGGTGAACACAGAAAGGATCATGCTGCAAAGGTAGTATGGTGTTGATACTCAGTCCCAAAACACAGCTTTATCAGCTGGTTGGCTTGGAAACAAAGATTGAACACTGGGGAGAGGTTGCAGAAACTGAACATTGTTGCTGATACCATAAGTTATGTGTTTTGTGAAACAGAACCTGAAACTGCTCAACATTTATTCTTTCAATGTGTGTTCTCTAATAGATTGCTAGACTTGGTGAAAGTCTGGCTGGGAATCAATGCCATTCCTAACCAGTTAAATGCCCAGGAAATGCCGCAAAGATGGAGGTACAGGAAGTTGCAACAGAAGGTACTTTATTCTGTCTTTAATGCCACAGTTTATCAGATTTAGATGGAAAGGAATTACAGGAAATTTAGGAACATGAAATGTTAAGTAGAATGCTGTTTTAATAAAATTCAGCAAGAAGTTAGATATAGAATACAGTTCTGTTTAAAGAGGAAGTGTTTGAAAAACTGTGAGCAGCAGTTTTTGAGCAGATTAGGGCTATACTGTTGATAGAAGATGTAATTATACATTGTACAGGAACTTTTTGATGTGATCAATGAAATTTACATTTTAATCAAAAAAAAATCAGCATATGAAACAATGCGGAGGCGACAAAATCAAAACCCTATTCTGGAAAATTGTTGGACTAAAATGATCCCATTGAGGGTTTCGGTTTTCTTGTGGCAGTTACATAACAAGCTACTGCCTTTTCCTGAAGTCTTGAAAACTTTTAGTATACACTCATGGCCTAGATGTCCTCTATGTTGCAGCAAAAGCGATGGCATTGAGCATTGCGTTTTTGAATACAGAATATCTTCTCAAATCTGGACTCATTTTTCGTGGATATTCAACTTACCACCACCAACATTTTGTATGCGAAACTACTTGGATTATGGTGGTCAATGGCAAACTTTAATTCAGTATGGGAGGCTTTGAAGATGGTAACCCTGACGTTCATATTGTGGTTTCATTGGAAAGCTCTAAACAAGATTATATATGAAGGTGGAGCAGCTACAACTCAAGGCGTAATTGCTTTGATCCAAGGGCAAGTACTAGACATGTTGAGAGTTTATTCCATCAAGGTGAAGTCTAAGGTTGAAGTTAATAAGGTGGAGCAATTGCTGGGGTGTCGTCTTGCGAACCCAAAACTGCGGAGCTATAAGACTGTAAGATGGTTGCTTCCTCAAACAAATTCTAACATTCTTAATTCGGATGGTTCATCTCTAAGCTCTTTTGACGCGGGCTATGGGTTTCTGATAAGAGATGACAGGGGTGACCTAATTTATGGGGAGACTGGTTTCCTTGGAGATGCTTGCAGCTTCAAAGTGGAACTGGCGGGAATTTTGTTTGGTCTTTGTAAGTGTTTTCAGATGAAGCTTGAAAATGTTCTTGCGCAGACTGACAATCTCGCTCTTGCTCTTTTATTACAGAAAGGAACGATTTTCCTTGGCAGCACCTTTTGGCTATGAGTGAGATTTCTTTGCTTTTGAATTGTTTATCTTATTGGATAGAACACATATTCTGAGAGGCGAATTCAGTTGCTAATTTTTTGGCCCACATGGCTTCATCAGGGCAATCCATGAGATTTCTCAATCCTGGTAGATTGCCTACTAAGGCAAGAGGTTTGTTTATTCTAGATCAAAGTTCAACGGCCTATCTGAGAGCTCAATAGTTCTTTCTGAGTAAAGTTGTAATAGAGCTATTTTGATATACTTTATTCATTGTATGTATCCTGGTAAGTCTTAAGCACAGTCAGAGCTTTTGCTTTAAATTAATAAAATAGAGATTCTGTGACCTATGGTTAGGGAGGTTACAATATTCATTTTAGAGGTATACCCTCTAAGTGTATTGTGTCTTCCGAACGATAGTCCCGTCAGTTTCTCTTTCTTTCTCCATTAGAAAAAAAGAAAGGCCATCAAAAGAATGAATCACAAAAACCACAAAGAAATACACAGGGATTATTTGCGCATTTTAAGAATAAAGAACAATCCTTACGCAAATGTAACAACCATATTTAAAAGGGAAAGGATAATCAAATATCAATTAGGCATATAATCAAATATATACGGAAACTAAAAAAAATGGGTAAAACGAATGGGTAAAAAGTAAATATAAGTAATCAATTTACAAAAAATTTTAACCCTTTAATGAAGGAGGGTATCTTCCGTTGACATGTGGCAAACAAAAACTCTGAACTTGATATGTGTCAAATAAACCTTTAGACTATCTAATTGATTCCCACGTGTTGATTGAAAATTCTCTCTTAATATATAAATATAGATTCCTTTCCAACAGTCTCAGGTTACAAAGCTAATATTCTGGCATATTGCATCTACTCCGGTCCCTTAAGCCATTGATTATATGTGTATCCACAATAACAAAATTAACCCACTTAAGATATTGATATCTTAATTTATAATTTATCTATTCACTAATTAACACTTCTCTCAAACTTAATGAAACATCATCACTCAAGTTATTCCCTTCCAAAAAGTATCATAGTTTCCTTATTGTTTGTATTTTCTTTTTTTTTTTTTTGGCGGGTACTGTTATTCGTATTTTTAGATCATTTAAATTTATTATTCTTAATAAAGTTTAATGGTACCAAGTGTTCCATAATTAACAATACGATTGTGTAGAGTTTGAATTATTTAATTAACAATAAGATTCCAGCAGACTGCAGTTGGCATTGGAAGAAGTTAATGAAGGTTAGGAATCAACTAAGAGCAGGAGTTAACAACGGCAGATGGAATGGCACTTGGAAGAAGCAATATACTACAAGATCTGGATACAGATGGCTAAGGGGAACAAAAGCTAAATGCAAATATGCTTCAATCTCATGGAGTTGATTCACTATACCAAAACACATTTACATAAGTTGGTTGGCATGGAAAAAGAGACTCCTGATTGTGGACATGCTGAAAAAGATGAATATGGATATCTTGGATGATAAATGTGTGATCTGTGGGAATGAGGAAGAGACTGTGCAGCATCTATATTCTTCAAATGTCAATGTGCAAAAGGTATTATGCAGAAGCTGTTGGATTGGATGGGAATACACAAAAAGATTGAAGAGCTTCATTTCAATAGAATACTCAGAATATGGAAGTATAGAAGGCTAAGAAGGAAGGTGTTCTAGGCTGGACTAAATGCTGTCATATATCACCTGTGGTCGGAAAGAAATTGTAGAAAGTTTGGAAGGAAATAGTGCAAAATAGAATGATGATGTTGCAAGATGATCTGAAATGTAGAATCAAGAAACTATATAGGATTGGTAGTGGTGATGATATTATGTTCCTAAACAGATTAGGAATCAACATGTCTATCTCGGACTGGAAGTTGTATATAACTTGTTGAGGAAGTAATGGAAATTTACAATTTACCAAAAAAAAAAAGAACATAGTGGACTCAATCTAATAGAAAATCTTAGATGTGTAAAAAGAAAGAAGAAAACAATAATAGTTAACGCACAGATTCTTTTTAGGAGCTTAAATATAATGAACACCCTTACCGAAGAAATCGTAAATAATTATTTATTGGTAGTTTGAAATAATTTTTGAGAAGACCAAGTGGATAAAAACCTAAACAATAATTTATCTAAGGTAATAAAAAAGAAACCATTTTATAACTGAAAATCCATTTGTTAGGTTAGAATAAAAATAGGAAACTTGATGGACTCACCGCTTGATTCATTGGAAAACTTTTCCTAAGGTTACTCGGAACAGAGAGACTTTTAGGAAGCTATTTTCCTAAGTATACTAGCAACAGAGGGAGTACTATAAAATAACTTTTCCACAATTCCTCAGAGGACTGTATGCGATCAAGTAATTTTTTGTCGATTGCTGAAAATAACTTTGTCTCGTTTCGAGTTTTATTATTCAGTAGAGATCGCTGAAGCCAACTTTTTTCTGTTTGGAGCAAAATATAGAGGATATGGAGATTACAAACATAGAAAATGATCTCATTTCGAATTTGATTATTCAATAGATTTTTTTAATAAAGAAAGAAAAAGGATACATAACTTCAATTTTAACCATCCAAATATATCCATGTCCAGAAGGTTCATAGCATAATTCCATTGAAAGGATAAATTGTGTGCTAATTCATCCCATTTGGTGTATAATAGACATGCTAAGTAGTATTCCACCTGTAAGTGCATTTTGATTATCGTTCTATCATTTCATTGATAATTTCCTTTCCATAGTCACAAGTTACAAAGCTATATTCCGGAATGTTGCATCTACTTCCTATCAAGTCCATTTACTCCTCACTTAAGCCATTGATTACGTGATTGAGTTGTGCGTTAAGATTGACTTGTGTGTATCTGCAATAACAGAATCACCCCCACTTACGATATGATATCTTAATAATAGAATTTATTTCTTCATAGAATAACACATCTATCAATTCTAACAATGCCAGAGTATACATGGGAAAACATGGACCATACTCAATCCAATATAAAATCGTCATAAAATCACAAAATAGATGTCATATGATGGCTAGCCTGGAAAAATTGACTCCTTACAAAAGAAAGATTGAGAAAATGGGGAATAGTGCAGATTGATCTGAACTGTGAGCTGTGTGGGTAGGCAGAGGAGAAGATGGACCATCTGTTCGTTGAATGTGACTTTGCATCCAAAGTTTTGCAGGGGGTCACAAATTGGCTGGGAATCAAACTGAACAGCAATGCACTAAGGGCTAATACTACCAGATTGCTCAGAATATGGAGATATAAAACAGTTAAACAGAGGCTTTTGCATGCTTGCATTGTGGCATGCGTTTACCATGTATGGAGGGAGCGAAATAGCAGGAAGTTTGGCTCTTCAAAGATGACAGCTGATCAAAGAATTGAATTGGTAAAACAGGAGGTAACTTGATATGTGCAATTTCATTGTAGAAAGGGTAGTAATGACAACATTCGGTACTTAGAAAAGCTTGGCATTAAGATGCAATTTTTTAATAGGAGATAAACACTGGTACAGATTCAGCCTTGAAAGCAATGAAATTTACAATTTACAGAAAAAAAATAGATATCATCTTACACTGAATACGCATATTCCTTTACACACTTTATGATATTTAGTAATGAACAAAATTGCCAAAGAAATATGTTTGAAATGTTAATTAATAAACATGACATACTATTAATATCATAAGCCCCAAAAGGGACGTTAAAGAAAAATAGATGTGATCATTTCCCGTTACTTTTTCTTTTAAGTTTTTCGTGTATATATTATTAGGAAAATATATGCATAGTGACAAATATATAATAAAAAGATATAGTGACTTAGTTGGTCCCCTATTTTGATGGCACTTTGTCGTAGAACTTATATCTTTCTTTATTAAATTTACATTTTTGTCCTTAATTAGTTTGTACACATCAATCACTATTAGTTTTCACTATGAGTTTTCACTGTCTTTATCACTACTGTATATTATTATTCTAATATCAATATCATTTTATTCGTTTTTTTGTTACTTCAGGAACCTCTCTAAAATAGTAAAACGGTCCTGAAAAAAAAGTGAACACAATGAAATAATTTGTGAGACCAAGAAGATACAAAACGGGAACAAAAATTTACACAACATAATATTTCAAAATTTGATATAAAGAATTTTTTTTCTAAGACAATGTTAGTATAAGGTAATAATATAAGCTAATAATTATAAATAACGTGTAATTTTAAATGGAAATCCATTTGTCAGATTAAAATTAAAAAAAAAAAACTAAATCCACTCACCGCTTGATTGAGATCCTATTGCTAAGCATAATAGGAACAGAAAATGGCACTATAAATAAGAGAATATGGAAATAATAGGAGTTCAAGAAAGAGAATATGGAAATTATAATCATAGAAGACGATGATCATATTGATGACTGTGAAATTCAAGAAAGTCTGATAATTAAGAAATTTGGAGACGGCGTCTCATGGAAGCGAGGTAAACTGCTTGGCGAAGGAGGGTTTGGGGCGGTTTTTATTGCCACAATGAATCATCATCATGCGGCTGCCAGTCCAACGGTCATGGCCGTAAAATCGGCCGAGATTTCAAACTCAGATTCTCTGCGGTTGGAGAAGAAAGTGCTCAGTCGCTTAGTTGGTTGCCCTAATATTATCCAGTGCCTTGGGGAAGAAGTCACGAGAGGGGTTGACGGATCGGAGGTTTACAACATATTATTGGAATATGGTTCCGGCGGGAGCTTAGCGGAGAGGATTTACAACTCAAGAGGCAAGGGTTTACCGGAGTACGAAGTTCAGTGGTACACCAGATCCATCCTTAAAGGCCTGATGAAGATTCACGGAGCCGGTTTCGTTCATCGTGATTTGAAAGCTGATAACATTCTCCTGGTTCCAAGGAATCGTGAGAGTTGTCTCCCGAAATTCAACGCCAAGATCTGTGATTTCGGGTTGGCGAAACCAGCAAACCAAGACCGAAAGAAGAAGAGGAAGTTGTCAGATCGAACCTGGTGGGGAACTCTGATGTATTTGGCGCCGGAAGCCGTGAGGGAGGCTCGACAAGAACCTCCCGGCGACATGTGGTCCCTGGGGTGCGTCGTGCTGGAGATGTTAACCGGAATTGCGCCTTGGTATCTTGATGAAAAAGCGTTGCCCCCGGCTGAAGAAGAAGGGGATTATCTCCTGAAAAAGCTCCGCGGCGGAAGGGCGGTGCCGAAGATTCCGGAACGATTGTCCAAGGATGCCAAGAATTTTCTCAAGTGTTGTTTGTATAGAACGCCAAAGAATCGAGCAACGGCCAAAACATTGTTGTTTGGGCATCCATTTGTGAATGGTCTGAGAGACGAGGATGGTTTTTGCCCAGGCGGTGGAGTCGTCGCAAATCTGGTTGAAGACATGAAGGGTTCAAAGGAGCTTCCATGGCTGACTCTCAGAGGGAATCTGCCCTTGCCGGGATTAATGCATTATGCAGCAAAAACTATTACTACTATTTCATTCTTGTTTAATCATCTAATGAAATCCTGTATATACTTTGTCACAGTTAAAAGTATTTAATTTTTTTTTTCTAATCAATCATTACTTATTAATTTCACATAAAACGAAAATCTCATTGCATGGACCCTGTTTTGGTCGACCATAATCTGGAATACCTCCTTAATTATCTATATGAACATGTTCTTTTCTGTCAAATGCATAAGATTAGTACCACGAGCGTTCATTTTTTTGGAGTTTTGGTGCTTAACGTTAAGTAAAACATCATACTATATATTGATCGCCATATGCTCCTTCCTTTAGTCTAAAGAAACAGTAGTCTATTTTGTTTTTATTATTTTAATTTAACAAAGTGGATAATTTTAGTGAGATATTTAGAAAATAATTTATTCCCACTTGTTAATGAAGAATTTAGGATTTTCATTTTGTTTCTCACTCGCAAGCCAAGAAATTAATGATCGCATATATAAGGGTATTATGTTTTCTCTTTTTGGGCAAAGTCGGCACCCCATAGAATGCATAGAGGAGAGCTGGGTAGCTAATATCTTCCAGCAAGTTCAAAGTAACTAGGGAAACGTCTGTACCAGAATATAGGGACAAATTTACGAGAAATAACTTGAGCTCCAACATCTACGAAGTTTGCGCTCAGTTTTCTACAAGGATGTTAAACCATTCTTGAATTGGTTGGTAGGCTGTGCTCGTTGTCGCTCTCTAGAAATTCCTGCTCAATTAAAAGCATTAGTTCTTTTTTCAAATTTAGAAACCACATTCCATCTCTTTCAGACGCTCCTTAATCAACTACTGTTCGTCCAAAACCTTTGACATTTCATGATCCGTCCAACATCAATCAGATACCTTTGCTCGAAATGGACAGCCTCCACGACTTTCTTCTTCTCATCACCAGGAGGGAGCAAGAGGTATCTCTATCTTCGTCATTTTATGAGCGGAACTTTGAGTAAAACTAAAATATCATATTATGCGGCTTTTAACTTGGAATTATGCAACCAAAATTTGTTGATTCAGGAATCTATTCGAACTGAAAATCTTTTGTGATCTTATCCCATAAGTAAAGTACGTATAACAATCGAAACAAATTTCCATAATCATCTTCTGTTATTCTCATTCCAACATAAAGCAAGAGATTGGCATACACATTATACGAAATTCAATAGTTCTACTCTCAACCTGAAAGAGATTAATCATCACTGAAAGGAGATGACCCTAATTTTGCAACCACATTATAGTTATCTCTTTATATGATTCTTCTTTCTTTTGTACGGTTCTTTTGTCCATCAGGTTTTCTCTTGCCTCACTACTTAATTGTTTTTCTTTTTGTAATTTTTCTAGGGTGGTTTTTTTTTTGGAAGGTTTTCCCTCGCCGATGGTTGTGAACTCAAACTAATGCATCATGTGGGATTTTTTTGATCACACTGAGAAGGATTTTCTTGGCATAATTTTGTGCATACAATTTCTCCCCGATAAATGGCTCTCTACCTATTGCTAACGTTTTGGTGCCTAAGATGTGGAAGCAGCAAAATAGGGAAGGACTTGAATATGTGAGAAATTGGTTACAACTTACAAGAAAAGGGCTTCAAGGACTTTAATTGCCTTTTGTGGTAGTGGACATAATCAAAATCTCAGAAGAAGTGTAGTTTAGTTAAGAAAACTGTGTTGATCAAGTTGGGAACGAGTTAGAGTAACAAGCCTTAGCCCAACAAAGGGAGGTTCATAAAGAACAATAATCCTTGATTATGTTATAATAAGAAGCTCGTGATTTTTATCTTTTCTTTTTCTTTTTTGGGAAAGAAATTGAGTGGAAACTATCTAGGCTTCTTACGAGCTTTTTCTTGTTACAATTAAAGATAATCTCTTTTTCGTAGTAGATGAATAATTGATATTGTATTTTTAGGTGAATAGTTCGAGTTTAAACAAACGGCTCCAAAGAGAACTATTTTCTTTTCTTTTTTTCGTAGTTCTTTTCTACATAAACATTACACAAATATTAAATTATATATTTTATTTTATTCCTCTCAAAATATTTTCATTCCAATTAGATGAAGACGTTACCCTTTCATGAGCATTTGCCAAAAAGTTCAGTTTATAACCTTGAACTAGTAATGCATAAAGTAATGTATAAACTGTCTTGTTTAAACTATCACTAGGCTTGTCTTTGTCGCGCGTTGCACGACCAGTTTGTATTATATAATTATTATACTGTGTTCGTAACAAAAAAGTAATGCTACAGAGAAAGTATAAAAATAGTTTGTTTTATTGAATTCTGTGTCAATAATTTGAATTATAATTACTTAATCTTTTTAATTTGAAATGTAGCTTGTTTTTTTTCATTGACTTTAATTTGTATTCTATTCTTTTCTTTAGTCTATAAGACTATTTGTATTCACCAAATCGGGAAGAAGTAAAAGGTAGTACTCGAGCTTTATGAATTTATGTATTAGGAGCTCATAAATTAGGATCGGTTGCTATAAAAGAATCAAAGTAGTAGCCTTACGAGTCCCCAAAGAAGAGTTCGACCCAATGTTTTATTTCTGTCGTAGTTGATCCCGATTCAACATTAAAAGTATATTGATTTTTCCCCAATAACCTAATACTTTTGTCTATAAATACTGCATATTTAATTCCATCCATAAATCTATTTTCTTCCCTATGAGTTCGAGTCTCAATAAGAATGCTAGTTCTTACTGTTCATATATTATGATATGAATATACCACATCAATTTGTTATGTATGGATGATGAGATTCCATTGATACAGAGCCAATTCTAATAGACTTATTGGAGGGTCCCATTGGCGTGCATCCAGCAGGAATTGAACCTACGAATTCGCCAATTATGAGTTGGGCGCTTTAACCATTCAACCATGGATGCTTAGCGGGGATCCTCGTGCATGGTGAATAACCAAATTCCAATTGAAATGAAATCTTTAGGATAAATCAATGCAATTTAGGAGGAATCAATGAAAGGACATCAATTCAAATCCTGGATTTTCGAATTGAGAGAGATATTGAAGAAGCCTTGTTTTCTCGGGTAAAGTGAGTTTGGAATGAACCACTTTCCCATTGTCTTGGGCTTGTCTTGACAGTAATGGCGGCATTACTTTATATGCAGCAGTGCAAAGAATAACAATAATAGAACTATTTGTATAAAGGCTAGATTTTATGCCCGCACAGGATTATCAAAGAATCACTTGTCAACACTACCATCAGACCAGGTTTGTGGGAAAAGGTTTGACATATAGAAACTTTGGTGCAAAAAATAGAAATGGAGACCAGAAACTAATGTCCAATTAGTAGTAAAAATAAAAGCATAGGGATGTACGCCAAAAAAATTCCAAACCTATTAGTTGATCATGACTTTACTGAGCAAGAGTCAAGTAGTTGCATAAGATCAAACTCAATGAAATTATTTTTCACCATACTATTTGTTGAGCAAATCTTAAGAATCAACTAAGTGCGTGTGAAGCATAGTTCATAATTGTTTGGCGAGCAGCTGAAGAATATGCGCCAATGAAAGTTATTCCAGACAGATGAAGAAATTATGTAGTAAATGATAAAAAGAAAATTAAGGATAAACAATAGAAACGTTTATGCGCAAAGTTATGGAAGAGTGTTTCCTTCTCTGAAAGGTCTTCTTGAATAACATAATAGATTCCTGTTTTTGACATTTAGTGGGTAAAGAAACTCGAAATACTTATCTTTTTTCTCACTATTGAAAACCAAATGACTGGTGGCATAGATTGCAAGAAGCATAGTAAGGCAGAGAAGCAAAACTCACCAAAAAGTCTTACGAAACAAAGTTTTTTTAAATGGTACAGAGACAGTGATTATCTTTTCCTAATGTAGCTACCCCTTTCAATTGCAAATTCTTCGCTAGTTTTATCTGTATCTGGTACAATCAGTGAAGTTCCTGAAGCTGGAAAACAACAAAAAGGCAATGAGCTTTACATATGAAGTAATGCAGTATGCTCTATGCTTAGTCAATCCAAAGCAGAAACGGGTAGCTTCTCCCCAAAGCATTCCCAATCATCAGATACTAATATTAAGACGAGTAGCCAAGTGTCCAGCATTTTATTTGCCCGGTAAGGCAAAATTTACCACAAATAAACTATCATAATTAGGACATCAAGTTAGTGGCTCACTAATGCATGTAGCAAATCCGTATGCTATCATTTTTTCCCTTACACCAAGAGCCTTATCATGCTACTAAAGTAGCTCATGATTATATTCCAAAAAATTTTCAAATAATCCAGCATACATATCAAAGAGAGCCTAGGCGTATTAATTAGAGAAAAATATTCAAATCTAGACTTGGAGGAAATTTTCTCAAGGCTAATCAATTTTTTTGAACCATAGACATATAAAGAGATGGTATCTTAGTTCTTTATTATAAAACAGTCAAATATTAGAAACTTAAAGTCAGAAAAAGAGTACATTATAATATCACAAGTATATAAAGTCAGAAAAAGAAGTACAAATTTTGGTGCAGATATCTAGTGGAGTGAGGATTTATGACAAGTATATAATGTATCCACTGCTTGTTGTATACTAAACTACATTTGATTAATCTTCCACGTGATTCACTTTGTTGACAATGAAGGAACCTCTGTAACCCAATTAATTTTAAAGTGATTGATAATGTATTCTCATGTAGATCACATTTAGGGAATAACAACAATGAATGTCTACCAGTTCAATAAACAAAAATTTTATATGTTCAAACCTAAGGCATAAAAAGGCCTCCCTTCCACTTCAATTTTCACTTTGCAATTAATAGGTTCAAAATAAACCAGGTTTGGTGGAGACAGTATAAACACACCAATGCAAACATGATCATATCCCCAAAAATAGTAACTCATGAGAACTCTTACCAGGGTTGAAAGGTCTGCACCTTTGTCCAACTAACATAAGATAAATTGACATGAAACCAATTGATCAGCAAATATTCCATATTCCATGTACATATAAAATTGGTTTGAAACACAAAAGAAGAACAAACATTCGGCCAATTCAATAGGATTCAAAAAAAGAAATTTTAAAAAGGAACTAT